GACCAAAACCAGCTTGGGGAGGAAAGGGTTCATCTCACCTTCAGCTCACAGTTCATCACAGAGAAGAAACAGGGCAGGCGCCCAGGGCAGGAACTGAAGTACAGACCATGGACGCACGCTACTTACTGGCTTACTCCCCTGCCTGTGTTTACCCTGCTCTCTTCTTATACAACACAGGCCCACCTGCCTGGGGGTGGCACTGCCCACAGTGAGCTGGGCCCTCCCACATCATCAATAATTAAGAAAATGCCCCACAGACAAGGCCACAGGCCAATCCGATGGAGAAAATTTCTCAATTGAGGCTCCCTCTACCCAGGTGTGTCAAGTTGACAACTGAAGCCGTCCAGCACACTAGCCTAGGGGAGAAACTGCAGACCAGGGGTTCTCTCCTGGCACTATGCTGTGTCACCTTGGAGGAGAAGTGACTTGGGTACAGTGAAAATGTTCTTTCTGCAGAGTATGTGAGTCCAGTTGGTTGCTGTTGAGTGGTGTGCTAGAATTTCTCCACCGGACTTCCAGACTGCAAAGCTACTATTTTTACTTGTGAGGAGTTGTCAAATCGAAGCTGGGGGCAAGCAGTAAAGCCTCCCATTCTGCCATATGGCTGATACCCCAAAGCTGGCTTCTGTTTTTGAGTACATTCTTAATTAACAGCACGAAGAACCCCGGTTTCCTTGGAATAAATCATATGGTAACCCAGAAGGGATTGCCCCCAATTTCCAATAACAGTATTGGTTCTCCAGCAGCAAAAGTAGCATGCCAACGAATGACGGCTCTATCTGTGGGAACTGTTAGGCTCTAGACCAGATTGCTGCTCAAGCCAGCCCGCCACATCCACCTCTTCCTTGCAGCTGCTGTAGAGGAAATGGCAGGTCCCTTATCAAAAGAATCTATGAATCTCTGCACCCCAACAAGCTCCGAAGGTGCTCCAATTCCAAGAGCATGAAAGACACCCATCTCACTTCCCCCAAGGAAGTTTACAGGCTCAGGTTGTCAGACTCTGGGACATCAGAGGGTTGCCGGTAGCGACACATCCCCCCTGTACAATGGGTACCCCCTCCTCTCCAACACCGTTGGAGTCCCACACTTCTCCCCTCATATTCTCTCCCTCCAACTGCTGGCTGACGGCTCCCAGGAATCAGAGCCATCCTGACTACACAGAAACCTCTTCTGAGATCCATAGGAAGGGAGTTCATTCTGCCACTTGGTCCTCATGCTGTCTCTGAATGCTGGATTCTTATGAATGTCATGCTCTGGGTTTATTGTTTATAATGAACGCAATCATGAATGATTTGTGTTGAGCATCTCCGGCCTGAGAGTTTTGTCTGTTAATTACTATTGGGAACAGTAAGATTTGAGGCCTGTGTGGGTTTTGTGGGCTAGCCTCACAAAGGATCATCTCAGCATTCTAAGTTGTTACCCTCATTTTACAAATGGGGAAACTCGGGGCGGGAGAGATGGCTCAGTGGTTAAGAGCACTGACTGCTCTTGCAGGGGACCCGGATTCGATTCCCAGCACCCACACGGCAGCTAAAGACTGTCCATAACTCTAGTTCTGGGGGGATCCAACACCTTCTTCTGACCTCCTTGGGCATTGCATGACATGGCCGCGCTTACACATATGCAAGCAATATACTCATTCACATAAAATTAAAAAATAATAAAATATTTAAAAATAAAAAAACGGTGAAGCTCAACATATTCAGAACCAGAAGCCACATCTGATCCCAAGTAGAGGCCAAACTCTCCACCGAGTCACTTGGTTTCCTCACATGGAAAGCTGAGCATATCCAGGCCCTCCCCGACCCCAACACAGGAGGCTTAGCCACGTGCGTCCCAGCCCGACGACAGTGAACCCACTTCTACTCTACAATCAGGTTCCTATTAGCTGACCCAGACACGGGAAGCCATGCCAGACCCCAGACATGGGGCCTCGGCGTATTTAGTGATCAGTCTGGCTCTGGCTTTTAACTTCCCTGGAAACTTACTGTACTGTCTTTAGAACGGGCCTTGGAGAGCCAGAATGACAAGCTGGGTTGGATCTGGCTCAATCTCCTGGTATTTTTCTGGGCCAGCTCAGCCCCTCGTGTTTCTTACATGTGGCTGGATATGCCCAACTTTCCATGTGAGGAGACCAGAGTGACTCTGTGGATAGAGTCTGACCCTTGGGCAGATTTGGATGTAACTTCTGGTTCTGTATGAATCTAGGCCACTCAGCAGGGTGCCAGGCAAAGGGCTGCTTCTCTGCCCTGCAAGTTCTCCTGTACTGCTGTCTGAAAATAAAAGAGGATCAGACCAAAACTGTACTTGTACAACTTGAACATTTCGTTCATAGGAAAATAATTTACTCTAGCGCTGGCATGACCATTTTTGTCATGCGATGTGTCAATTTACATGTCTTTCCCCTCATCTTAGTCAAGTTGCTATAACAAAAACACCATGGACTGCTTGGCTTAAATTGCAATCACTTATTTCTCACAGTCCAGATGCTGGGAATCCCCAAATGGAGGCATCAGGAGACACAGCAAATTGTACCTGCTGAAGAACCACTCCCTAGTTTGTAGACAGCCGCTTTCTTATGTCAACTCAAGGGGGCGAGGGAGAGGGTGGGACATAGTGGAGGGGGAGGGGAGGGGGAGAGAGAACTGTTTTATTCATCTTCACATTCCCTGCTTTATAACACAGTCCTCGGCACATAGTAGGCATTTAGGCAAACCGAGGTACGATTTCACCCACCTGCAGTCTGGGAAGCCAGTGAGTTTATTAGACTTGCTTATAGAGCAATGGGTGAGGGTTTGCTTGCTTACAGGAGTGTGGGTGCTCTCCCCTAATGCCTCACTGGAAAGTCGTCATCTGAGCATGGATGGTAGTCTCCCCAGAGCCACATAAAATGGTGAGAGCCTCCTCCAGGCCTCCTCAGCTTCCTCACTCTTTGCCCCCCACCCCGCCCCCCACAACTAGAGAAGACTGATTGGTTGGGAGGAGTGGCTGACTCCCCTACTCCTCCTTCCTTGCAGCATGTGACAGTCAACAGAGTTCAACTATGATGATCCTAGGCTTGGGGTGATGGCATCCGCTTGTCTGTCGAAGGGCAGTCCTATACAACACTTTGTTCTAACAAAGACACAAACACTCCAAGGCCACACAGCTACCAATGAGTGGAGCAATGAATGAAGATGTAGGGCCTAGACATCAGTCAGCACATGTGTGAGGTTGGGGCTCACTCAACACTGAGAGGATCCTCAGGTAGAAGGATTTCTGGCTGGGAGTTCAAGGTCAGCCTAAGCTACACAAGGAGTTCCTGGCTGGCCTGAGCTACAGAGTGAGATTCTGTCTCAAACAAGCAAATCAACAAATAAAAACTCTGCATATTAATAAAGTCTCTCTCCCCATGTATTTTCATACATAGATATGATATGTAATACATATAGATTTGTGTGTCCTGACACTTTGGCAAGCGTTGAGGAGGCAGAAATGAACATGGTCTTTTCCCCAAAAGATTTCATGATTAGGAAAACAAAAACACAACAAAATTATTCCAAGATGGAAACTAGAAACAGCATGTATCAAGCAGCCAAAGCCAGTGGATGCAGTAACAAGCAACTCTCCTTCCCGTGTCTTTCAGGCCATATGTCCTTGACCTCCACTCACGTTGTCATGACTCCAGGGCCACACCTGACACAGCAGCCATTACTGTTGCTATGACAGAATTAGGGAAGGTACTTAACTCACATGGATTCATCAAAGCTGCTTGGCCAGATCTAATCCAACTGGGGCCGGGAAGAACTTAACCCTGAAGGGGGCAGAGGGAGAATGGGAAACCTCTGGTGATCCTCGTGAGATTCACAAACATGTATGAACGAGTCTCATCAGGTCCACAGCCAAGGGGCATACTCTGAGCTGGGGTCCTGGTCATGGAGGGAGCTGCCACCTTGAACTGAGCCATGCCATACAAACACTAGTCACAGTGAGGCCCAGGGACCAGGAGGCCAGGCTGCAGGGAGGTCAGTCACCTTTGGGCTGCCCGAAGGTGGCCTGGGGTCCCCATCACTGTGCAGAGTGACTTCACTTCACTGGAGGCGTCCTTGTGTGATGGTGTTTAGAGCCACAACTGCCTATTAAATAGTTACCCTGTGGTCAGAGAGACTCACTGGAGGCTGATGGGGCACCTGGACTCATTTGCAGAGGACCATAAATTTAGACTAATCATACCTTGCTCAAAAAAGTAATATATGAAATCAGATTCCCTGAGGAGAGCATGTTCATCAAACACACCGAATCTAATTTCTGGTATGGAGGACAAGAGAACCCTTGAATTGATATTTGCTAGAATTTCTATAATCCTCTTGCACTTGGCTAATTCATTAAATGTGAGCATTTAAGCTCTTTCCCACTTTATGTGGTAGAATTTGTTATTTGTTTCTAGCCTAAAGCCTTTAAAAGGTGGCATGGCCCAAGTCCCTCCCAGCCTAGGCAGTGGTTCCAAGGTTTTGGACCCCCGATTTCTGTCTAATTGGCAACTCATTTACTTCTCCAAGCAGTATTAGGGTCTATAGATATTAGCCCAGTTTTACTAAAGGGCAAACTTAATCCCAGTAGGTAAATGAAGGTATGATTTGAAGCCTGGCCTAGTGTGAACTTAGTGCTCCACGCCCATGGTCATCTAGCGGGATGCATCTGGAGTGTATACCCCAGGGTCCCACCACCATCCCATGCCTGTGTTTGTCTCAGACCTTGTGTTCCCAGTTGCGTCTCATGACCCAGACAAACAAGCCCAGAAAGTCAACGTTTTGTGAGGCACAAAGTCAGAGGGAGTTCCATCTTGCACTAGAATCTGGTGGTTCCCATAGCAACGGAATCAATCAATCAACAAGGAGTTATGAGGGGCACCTGTAAATTCAGCCTGGCATTCTGAGCTCATCTGAGACGTAGGGAGGTGGGCGGGGCACAGTGATAGGAAGGGTGAACGCAATCCCAGGGCGTGGCTGCTGTGGTGCAGGCCTGGCTAGTCTCCTGTGACAAGCCCATGCTGTGAGAGGCCAAAGTTGAGTGTGAGTCACACAGACAGAAGTCCTCTCGGCTGCCACCCACTCAGGACCCCACAGCACTCCCTGGCTGGCCCACTGTGCTGGAGAATGTGAACAGAAACCTTGGCAGCTCCTGAAGGTTGGTGGAAAATTAGGGGCGGCTCTTGTCGGCTGAGCGTGGGCTAAGGGTTTTGTTATGAAACTGCATTTCTATAGGCGCCATACTCTCTCTTCAGTCATGGTATAAGCCTGGGGCTGCTGGGACGTGGATCTGATGAGGCTTATGGGGAATGGAGCCATCCTCCCCTCTGCCCTGACCACAGGCATCTGTGCTTTGTCATCCGTTCCACAGAGGCTGAAGAGAGGTGAATACACTGTAAGGAATGGTGGATTTAACAGTCACAACTAAACTGTTAAGATGGAAACCTCAGGAAAACCACTAGGCTGATCTACTGCTGCCCTGGGGCACTGATGATGCCGTGGTGAAACTACACAGAAAGGCTGGATCTCCCCCTTTGTCACTCCTGCTGACCCAGAGTGCTGGGTCACTTCCCTTGGTCACACTTGCCTTGGAGGCAGCCTCATCCCCTGGCTTTAATTAGGGGACACAGTCCTTCCAACTGTATGCCCAGGACCAGCACATGCCTGCCTAAAGATTTCCCAGGGCAGAGAGGAGCGGGGCCTCTGGGCTCTTTACCTGTTGGAAACCCCAGGAGTTGGTGGAACTGTTTCCAGGGTCTCACTGTAGAGGTTTCCTCTGTGAGTCAGGGAAGGAGCCTAGAATCTGCACTTTCCAGAATCTCTGGAAGATTCTGAAGTCTGTGGGAGTCAGGAACAGGGATTTAAAAAAAAATTTTTTTAATTATTTTTTATTTTATGTGTATGCGTGTATTGCCTGCATGTAGGTAAATGCACCCGTGTCGTGCAATGCCCACGGAGGACAGAAGAGGCTGTCAAATCCCCTGGAACTGGAGTTACTAACAGTTGTTAGCTGCCATGTGGGTGCTGGGAATCGAACCCCGGTCCTCTGTAAGAGCAGTCAGTGCTCTTAACCACTGAGCCATCTCTCCAGCTCCAGGAACATGGATTTTTGTCACATTTATTAAGTTTTTTTTCCTTTGTTTTTGTTTTTATTTGGTTTTTTGAGACTGGGTGTTCCTGTAGCCCCACCTAGAACTCGCTATGTAGACTAGACTGGTCTCAATCTCACAGAGATCTGCCTGTCTCTGCCTCTGAGTGCTGAGATTTAGACGTATGTGCCATCATTTATTGTGTGTATGTGTCTGTCTGTACACCTGTGTGCACGTATGTGGAGGTCAGAGGACAACTTGCAGGAGTCAGTTCCCTTCATCCACTGTGTGGGACCTGCAGGTCATCAGACTTGGTAGCTAGTACCTTTACTACTGAGGCATCTGGATTCTTGTCTAGCCCAGCAAGTCTCTGCCCCACTTCTCAATTCCTGACCTCTTGATTGTAAAGTAGAGAAAAGGGTATTGTAAAGGGGCCTCGTCTTCCCCCCTGTAGAATGGGTGTAATCAACTCTTTCTCCTGCTTTGGAGGACAAAGTAAAATGACACCAGTGTGTCATTTTCAGTCACCTGAAAGTTGTGTCCCCAAATTCTTATGTGGAAGCCCTAATTCCCAGTTGATGGCATTTGGGAGTAAGGCCTTTGGAGGTGGTTAGGGCATGAGGTTGGAGCCCTCATGAATGGGATTAGTGTCCTTAAACGGTCTGCAAACCAGGGGCAGGACCTCCCTAAAACTCCTTCCTCCATACCATAAGGAACATCTGGTGTACCTGACGCCCAGTTAGTGTTACTGTGTCAGCCCAAGTGGCTTCAGAATGCCCCCTCCATGGGAAGGACGTTTCTGACCCCTTTACCCTTGTACTTAAGGATGAACACTCACAGCTCACAGGGGTAGTGCTGAGTCTGAGCTCACGACAGGCCTCAGAGAAGGGTGTGCACATGTGGATGCTTGTCTCTTGGGCCAGGGTGGGCAGCTGAGAATGCCCAAGGGACCCGAGTGGGTGCTGCCCTGCTGCCGCTGTGAATGAATGGCATGGCCCTGGGTCGGGGGGGTTGTATTTCCCTGGGACTGGTGAAAGAAAGAGGAGAGCTTGTATGAAGGGCATGTGGGGGCCCAGGCCGCAGGCAGGGCCTCAAGTCCAGGTGTCCTTGAGGACTCCCATGGTTCCCTGAAACGCCACATGCTTCCTGAATAAGTCAGGCTCTGAATCCCTTGGCAGGAACAACCTCCTCCTTCCCAACTGTTCTCCCCTTATTCCGGGTTCAAGACAGCTGGATACAGCACCAGCAGTACAGTCAAGATTCAAAAACACTGCATGCTATGATAAACACGGCCCCACCGGAATCCCTGACTCTGAGAGTCTGCAGAGAGGCCCAGGGACCTTTGGAGGAAGGAACATGTCCACGTGCACTGTTGCAGGTTGTCCTCAGCCAAGGCTATGTCAGCCTAGGCTCTGGGGTCAGGCGTGCCCCAGATGAGAGGGCACTGAGGCCGGAGCACCACCGGAACTCTCAGGCCGCTGATTTCTCGCCCATGTGTGATAAGTAGTGAGCCCGGCAGTCTCAAGGCCTTCCTGTGGTTTGGATAGGTTTGGTCCTCTCAAAGGGTCTGAAGTGGGAAGCTCGGTCCCCACTGTAGTAAGGTGAAAGGCTGTAGGAGTTTCAATAAGTGGGTTTAGTTGGGGGTCCTTAGGTCATTGGGGTGCTTCCCTTAAAATGTGGGACCCTATGTTGGTTCTCCCAAGTGTCAGTTGTTAGAGGCCAAGTCTCACCTTTGAATTGCAGTCTGGCTCATGTCTCACCATGTGAACTCCTTCTTCCCTCCTTCCACTCCCTCCTCCGTCCCTCCCTCCGTCCCTCCATCCCTCCCTCCATTCTCTCCCTCCTTCCCTCCCTTCTTTCTCTCTCCTTCCCTCCCTCTCTTCTTCCCTCATGCCCCCGCCACTGCACTACCATCCACCGTGAGGTCTTCACCAGAGCTAACTTGGTGACAGCACCAGCACCTTTAACTTGGTGAATCTCCTTTAAAACCTCACTCAGCTCTGTGCATTTCACTACAGCAGCAGGAAACAGTGTGGTGCTTTAGCAAAAGGAAGACCCACTGTGTAGTAGGCTTAGTAAAGGCAACTCTTAGGGCAGAGAACTTCCTCCCTGTCCCTAGGCATGCACACTGTCACCTGGAGCACATGGTCAGGGAGTCCTCTGGGGACAGGCCTGACCGCTGGCTTGTTCTAGGAGATACAGGAAGAGGGAGGTGACTCTGGAGTAGAGATGAGCCTGGCTCAGCCTTACCTCACCCCTCAGTCCTCCTTACCAAAAGCCCTCTCACTCCTCCATGAGCCACAGGCCACTCTTGTCCCATCTGGAATGCCCGGATTCTTAGCCTGGTCAGTTCAAAGCGGTGCATCTAGGCTCAGCCCAACATGACTGGCTGGCTGAGGCTTCTCCCTCTGTTCCTAAGCACTCATCTGCTGCCTCATTGGGTTTCCCTCTGTGTCCCTCTATCTGGGCTGCAAGTCCTGAAGGACGGGGAATCTGCCACAGTGCTGTCTGCACAGAGGAGGCATGCTGCACGCCGCATGCTCAGTATGTGGATGAATGGGTGATGCCAACGAGGTTGTTGCAGGAACCTTGGTCCTCACCTTCCAAAGAAAAGAAGCAGCCAGGTGCGGCACTCTGCAGCACAGGCCATGGTCCAGATCCAACTTCCTCTCTTTAAAAAAAAAAAAAAAAAAAAAAAAAAAATTATTCTGTGGGCAGACAGACAGGCAAGAACAGATTTCCCATGAAAAAAAATTATTATTTTTTATTTTATGTGTATGCATGCATTGCCTGCATGTAGGTAAGTGCACCCATGTCGTGCAATGCCCACAGAGGTCAGAAGAGGCTGTCAGATCCCCTGGGACTGGAGTTATGGACAGTTGTTGGCTGCTATATGGGTGCTGGGATACGAACCCCGGTCTTCTGCAAGAACAACCAGTGTTCTTAACTGCTGAGCCATCTCCCCCCTCCCCACGACTTCTTCTCTTAAAAGCTGCTTGGTTGGGGGTGAGTTAACCCCTGTGGACTTCACTCTCCACATTTGTACAGTGGATTGATGGTGCATCTCTCATCTAGTAGTGGGGCCTCTGACCTAAGCATCAAATGAGCCAATGCCTTGAAAGCATCAGATGTGGTATTTAACACATAATAAACCCCAGCAAGCCTCGAGCTAACTCCTGTCAGTGGCCTGGCCAAGCTACGAGCACAGCAGGTAACTCGCATTTTATTTTGTGTGTGTGCTCTCTGAATTCTCCAGTATAACTATATAACCCTAGTCCAACCAGGAAAAATGCGTAAACGTGCTAAGTCCCACCCACCAGGGTTGTTGCCTATGGCAGGGCTTCTTTTAAGGTGACCAGCTACAAGCTGAAAACACAGTGAATGTTAAACCGTGATGAGAGTTATATCAGGTGAACTCAGCAGCTTCTCATCAAGTAACCAGAGCAGACTCTAGGTCCCACTTGCGCCAGGCATTGCACGCTGGTTATCCATCACAGGTCTTCTGAGGAAAGTAAAATTAGCTATTTTTTCCCTGTGGAATATTGGTATGATGGTGATTGAAGAACTTTATGAAGACATACATCCATACCCAGAAGGAGCCAGGCTGTGGGCCTCAGAGCCTCTCAGGCACTATGAGTCTGTTCAGAGAGTCCTCCTCAGACCAGGGCCACTGTGGGGAATACAACAGCTCGGCAGAATTTAATGTGTTAGAGAATTCTGACCCTTCCTAAGCAGCTCAGACCTGTCATTAAGGGGCTGAGAAGGCGGGTGTGGAAGAGCAGCTCCTGATGGAGTGCAGGAACCCACAGTAACTCTCTGTGCTCTGTGGGCAGAGGCAGGGAAGGACAGAGGACTTACTTCCACTACATTTATTTCTGTATTCGCTGAATTTCCTCCCCCACTTTTTTTTTTTGCGATGAATATGTCATGTTTGCTTCATCTTTCAAATTTAAAAATGAAGTGAGAATGTGGCAAGAAAGGAAGAGAAATTCCGAGGTCCTGGGGCTGTTTTGGGGTGTTATCCTCTGCCTGCCATGGCTGTCAGGCTGCAGGTGCTTGGACCTGAACCACGCATGATGCGGGCCAGGAGCAGGGTCTTTGCTTCGCCCACACAGCCCTGCACGAGGTCTGGGGGCTGGGCTCCCCACAAAGCTTACAGCCTCCCCTCCTCAGATGGGGACGATCTCACCCACATCCCATCTGGCTTATCCTCAGGGGCTCTCGGAATCAAGGCTATTCCTGAGTCGCTTTGACCACAGCCACACCGCCCTCACTGGTAGCCTCGGCTGCTGGGGAGTAGGAAGGGGCTTGCCTCTCAGCAGTGCTCCTCACAGGGCTCTTCGCAGATGAACTTCCCACCTTTCCGTCCTGTCACTTCCTTTGCACTTGGGAGTTACTTCCGAGGTAAACAAAAAGCAGGGCTGGGGCTGCAGTACACTTGGTACAGCGCCTACCTGGCGTGCACAAAGCCGTGAGTTCGATCCCTGGTACTGCATAAACACGGGCATGGTGTCCCATGTCTAAACCCAGCACTCGGGAGGCAGAAGCAGAAAATCTGAAGTTCAAGGTTATCCTCAGCTATGTAGCAGGTTTGTGAGCCTCCACGTTCCTTAACCTTAGTTCTCATTTGTGTGTGTGTGTGTGTGTGTGTGTGTACGTGTGTGTGTACACCCACATGTGTGCCATAGTGTACATGTCAGAAGACAGCTTTCAGGAGTCGGTTCTGGGCGACTGCACCTCATCTTCCCCAGGAGTGTGCCTCAGGGACCATAGATGTGGGTTCCCAGGACAGAACCCGGGTGGCCAGGCCTTCAAAGGTGACCATCTCGCCAGCTCCCGTCTTCGTTTTGCCACGGTGATTCCTAGGGATACTGTGAAGTCACAGGCCTGGAACAGGACGGGTCTGGACTTCCTTTGTCAGTCTCATCTTTGAATAAATACAGTTCGAAGTGCTGAAAGTTTTTTCCTCATAGGAGCTGCATGTCTCGGGGAAACCAGCATCCTGCCTCCCCACACCAACTTCATCACCCCGAGGATGGTTCACGGACTCGGTCAGGAGCCCAGCTTTGACAACCAAGCGCTGCAGACTAAGGGGGCCTCGAGGGCGACTCACCGGAAGCAGACCCGGAAGCAGATGGAGCAATGGGAGGAGCTCTGAGACGGGAGCCAGTGACCTGCGCCTTCTACCCTCTCCGGGCCTTATCCCGGGGCTCTAACAGGAAGCCATGGGATGAGCGGAGCTCTAACCACCAGGCTTTACAAAGAAAGAGAAAAGGAGAGCAATGGGAGTTCCAGGCACTGGGCAGTGCTGCTCAAGCTGGTCTCCATCTTCAGCAGGGGCTCAGAGCCGGCTGCCATCAAGGAGACCCGCTATCTCCCGAGCACCCTCCAGTGGCTGGCCGTGCTCTCTGTGGGGTGCTCAAAGGATCAGCAGTTAAAGCAAGTGATGATGAATGCGATGAATGCTCGGACAGGTCTCAAGGTCATCGTTATCCTAATTGAAAGTGTTACACACTGATTCCACCAGTAGGTATCCTTAACAGTAGTACTGAAGGATGAACTGGTGGTGGCCTGGGATGAGGCATGGGGTAGGGGACGGATGTGCGTGTACCCGGGGTGGTGAAAGAGTTCCTTTGTGGTGATGAACAGGTCATCCGGATTGTGAGACTGTACTCCATTACTAAGAGGGCACCGCTGAGAAAGGTGGATGCCGAGGCAGCACAGAGGGCCTTTCGTCCGCTTTTGCCGTATTTTGCAACTCTGTGTGTTGCAATTCAAAGTCTGTTAAAAAGCCTGTGAGATGATACTAACAAGAGACCTAGGGAATCAGTGAGACCACACGAGGTCACATTTCTCTGGAAGAGAAGTTAGTAAAGATGTGATTCCATGTGTGCTGAACAGCTTTAGTGTCAACAGACCTGGGTAGAGGGATCCTCAATTGGGGAATTGCCTCCATTGCACTGACCTGTGGCCATGTCTATGGGGGAATTTTCTTGATTGTTGAGAGATGTGGGAGGGCCCAGCCCACTGTGGGTGGTGCCGTCCCTGGGCAGGTGGGCTGTAAGAAAGCAGGCAGAGCATGGGCCAGGGGAGTAAGCCAGTAAGCAGTGTTCCTAGATGGGCTGTGCTCCAGCTCCTGCTTCTAGGAGCTCCGACCTTGGGCTCCCTGATGAACTGTGACCTGGGAGATGTAAGCCAAATAAACCCTTTCATCCCCAAGTTGGTATTGGGCAGTGTTTTGTCACAGCAATTAAAGACAAACTAGAACATTATGTCTCTGACCCCAAAGTTGTGGGCTTCTGTCTACCACAATGCCTTTCGTATGAAAAGATGTTCTCAGTAGTCTCCTCTTCAAAGTGCTCTGTGACTGTCCAGTGTCTGACCCTGTCAGGAGAATCCTTGGTCTCTGTGAAGCTGCCCTGTATCTAAGAGCCCATAGACTGTGAATGTCATGTCTGACCCTGCAGGGGAGCTCGTGGGTGCAGCTTTCCCCCCACCTGGGCAGGGGGAGTCTGACAGCTCTTCTGAGAGGGACTCTGTCACAGTGCTCCTATGGCACCCCTGCCCCATCAACTGGGCCCCTGTGGCTTACCCTGGGAGGGTGAAGACACTTCACTGATGTTCTCTGCTCCTCCCTGCCTCCCTTCAGTGAATGCTCTGTGAGTGGCAGCAGAGACTGAGGCTGACATGGCATGACTGACTCATTCTTCACTTGGTCAAACTTTAATCAGCCTTCTACGGCCCTTTCATGAACTTCGTGTCAAATCTATTTTTACCAAGAAACTTCCAGTGTGTGATCGCCTTCCAAGTCAGATCAGGGTACCCCACTGTCTGTCACCTTTCACGGAGTGCCTGATTCCCCTTGGTCTGTCTTCAGAAAGAATCTTGAAAGGCCAAGTGAGCTAGAACACCACCCCCCTGCCTTACCTCTGGTGGTTTCCACTCCTGAGTCCACCCCGCTTCTTAGCTATATAATCCATTTGTCTGCTGCATTTGGAGTTGGGCTCAACACCTCACTGCAAAATCCTATTTCCCTGGCTTCCAAACCGATTAAAAAGGTACTGAATAAAAAATGCCTCATCACACTTTAACAGTTACAGTTGGAGAAGGCTCGACGAGGCACCAGAATTTAACACACTTATACCGTCTTTGGGGAGAACAATAAGAAGTAAATACCAGTAAAACACCCGAGGCAGGTTTGCGAGGGGGCTGGGCAGCAGTCACCAGCTCTTACACACATCTGCTATAGGTTAAACTATTTTGAAGACAGGAGGTATTAATGGGCATCTTGCCATGAGCATGTATAAATACTAAGACTCGTCAGGTTTCAAAGTAACTGAATATGCCTCCATTTATTAAATCCATGTATCGAGACAGATCTTTCAGAAAGGAGATGCACCTTGTGGCATTCCTGGGTGGGGACAGGCACATCACAGTCTCTTTTGACCTGCTCTGTCAACATAATAACCACTAGCCACACGTGGCTTCCAAGCACTTGAAAAGAGACCAGTCTCAAGATGTGCTGTAAGCAAGAAATTCAGACTAGCCAGGCATGGTGGCACACGCCTTTAATCCCAGCACTCGGGAGGCAGAGGCAGGCTGATCTCTGTGAGTTCAAGGCCAGCCTGGTCTACATAGTGAGTTCCAGGACAGCAGGGGCTACAGGGAGACCCTGTCTCAAAAAGACAAAGGGAAAAATAAAAGAAATTCAGACTGGATTTCAAAAATTTGGTCCAAAAAATATAAAACATGTCAACATTTCTTATACTGAAATACTATGGAGATAATATTCCAGACATACTGGGCTGGTTGCGCAGATGCACACACTTTCATTCTGCTCATTCCATTTCTTTGTGTGGATACGAATTTGAAAATGACAGATATCCCATTATATCCCGTCGGACACTGTCCAAACCTAATTGTCCCTATAGTTTGCTCTTTTTCTTCCTCTTGCGGCCGCTGGAGTTTGGGGAAATTACTTTTTTCTGAAATGGAGCTTCTCTTCTCTCAGGGGGGGTCGTATTTATAAAGTACTTGGAGGGTGTGAAGACAGATCCTCAAGGGCCTCTGCACTCGGTGCTGTTTCCTTTTTAACAGGCACTTCTGATATTCAGAACGAACAAATGAGATGAATGTTAAAAGCTCCGAGTCTCCTTACCTCTGAAATTACTGTTAGAACATTTCCTTTTACATTCCTGAAGTTTCCATGGAAGCTTGGGTTCCACCAGATGATCTTTGCTTAGAGGTAATGTAGATTTCATTTCTGGGGGTTGGAAGTGATTTTTGACGGTACTTTGGATCCTCTTGTTTTTCATTTCTTTGTGTCGGAGGAAAGACACAGAAACTTTGGAGCAAAGCTCTTGGAAAATGTGCCACTATTGTCCGTCACTGACAGGCTTGCCTTCCCCCAGGGGCTTCCCTATCCCAGAGCACAAAGCAGCACCACGTCCTATTTTTCTGTTATGCTTTCACGAGGGGAGCCCAGAACACGGATGTTGAGGGCACAAGAGACAGAATTCGAATGAGCAATTTCAGTTCAACTGTGTTACTACTGTGACTCAGTTTCATCTGGCCGGGTGCAGAGCTGTGGGCTTGAGTCAGCAGCCGCCAGTCCAAAAACTCCCTCCCCACCTACCGCACTTGTTAGGTGGTGGGGAGTATGGAAGAATACCCTTTCCTGGATGGACATGCGCTGAGAACAAGGGAAATGTCTCCACTTCTACTATAATGGCATCATAACCTCTCACATGTTTGAACACTTGGTCCCTGGCACATGGCACTGTTTGGGGAGGCTATGGCACTTTTAGGAAGGGGTGCATGGCTGGGGACAGGCTCGGAGGTTTTATGCCTGGTCTGTTTTCCCTCTGCTTACTGTGTACTGATGGAATCTCATCAGCCAGATTCCTGCTCTGTGCCTTCCCTGCCTGTTGCTGGGCCAGATGAGCTCCAGTCTTCTGGAACTATAAGACAAAATCAACCCTTTCTCTTCTAGGTTGCTTTTGTTGTTGTTGTTGCTGGTTTTTTAAAAATTTTTTTCTAAGTTGCTTTTGGCCAGGATATTTTATCACGGCAACAAAAAAACTGCTAGAAAACCCAACTGCACTCTAATCTGATAATATGGAACGCTAGAACCCTAAGAAAGAGAATGAAGTTGACCACACAGGTCAGTTAGCATGAGTGCACATGGGAAGATGGGCCAAGGCAGGAGGAAGAGCCTCAGAAAGGTCCTGGTTAGTGATAGGTAAAAAGCAGCTGTGTGACAAATAGGGTTGATCAGGAGAAAGCAGAGTTTATTAGCAAAGGAACACATGGGGTAGATTCTCTTCTGGGTAGGGAAAATGTCTGCCCCGGGTTGTGAGTTGGGTTCTTTTTAAGGGGGAGGCTTCTGCTTCCTGCAGAAGGCGAGCAAATGTATTTTTTTTTTAAAGTTGGGGGGGGGGAGTGGGAGAGTGGGACTGTTAAAACCTGTCCTCTTTAGAGATCAAAGAGGAAGCCTACTGTGTTGGCCAAACAGTGGAGAAAAGTCTGCTTCTCTTGACTTCAAAGACCAAGGTGTTTATCAGCTAGGTTCCCTTTTCTCAGGAGCATGAGAAGTCCTTGGGATCCAGTTGGTGAGGGGGCAGGGCTATCTGAACCTTAACATTCCAGCCTTTTGTGTTATAGGATAGGGGGTGCCATTGTCTTGCTACTTCCTGCTGGACAGGGTTGACGTGGGGGAGGCTGGATTAGGGGTCGATCAGACAGCAGGGGTTCCCTCTTCATGCATCTCAACAGGGCCCTCTGATGGTTGACAGGCGTTTGTGTACATGTGGAGAGAAGGAAAGTAACAACTGATTAAAATTAGTAAGAGTTAGTTTTTGGATTTGGTCCTGAAAATATCTGAAGAGGCAAGGAGCAATGGTTAGCACCAAGGCAATAGCTCTTTTTTCATTTTTCTTTTTCTGCCAGGGCTGAACTGGAGAGTGATGGACTCAGGATTTGTTTTCAGGCATTTTGATAGCTGTTGGAGTGGCATCTTTTCCCTTTTTTTAAGAGCTAAATAACTGAAGGAAGTTAATGAAACCTTGTAGGAGGCAGGAAAGACAAAAGGAAACATTAAGAGATTAGGTTAAGAATAAATAAAATGTAAACAGTACTGAAAATAATTCCATTAGCTAGTTTCATTATAGTCAGTAATACCCTCTGTTGAAATTAATTTACACCTTAGCAGTTCTCAACTGCACAGTGCCTTTACTCTCAGGCTATTTTGTTGTTTTCCTCCTTGTCCCAGGGTCAGGGGCCAGCCTGAACCTGGAAAGGTCTTGGAGAACACATTTTGAGATAACAGGCTTGAGTCTCAAGTGGGAGGGCCAATCCCATCTCCAGAATCAGCGTCTCTGTGAGCTCAAACAGCATGTGACAATTTACCAATATAATTAATATTACCCTGATATTATAACTAGAAAGCACTCAGGGACCGATGGGGCAGGAACATAAGCAAGCATAGAGCATCTGAGCATCAGAGAGGGAAATAACTCCATTCCAGAGAAAAACAGGCTTAGAATCATGATGTAGAAAGGGGAGGAGTTAAGACAAGTAGAGATGGCGTCTCAAGCCTCTCAGTCAAGTAGACTATTACTTTTTACCTCTCCTTGTTGTAACTATGTGTTGGTAGTAGCTTGTCTCTTGTAAGGTTTTGGCCCTAGAGTACAGCAGATTTCCATGTGCTTCACAGGTCTAGTCATCACAAAGTGTCAGCTCCCTTTGCACCTTGAAGGCAAATGGCTAGAAAAACTTTAAGCTCCCTTTAGAAACTAGAAAATATACTATGTAAAACAGTAGGAATTTAAAAGTTATTTTTAGAAATTAGCAAATACCATATAAAAGATGTTTAAATCCAAATAATTCCTTTAAAACTATTAGGTAAGGATGTTATGCAAACAATGCTAAAACCTAAAAACAATTTCTTTAAAAAAACTCTAAACTTTTAAAACAATGTAAAAACTTAAAAGTCATCTTTAAAAACCAGTACGTATACCATACAAGAAGCTAAAACTCGAAGTAATCCCCTTTAGAACCAGGGAAAAATCTTAAATCTGTAAACATTTAAACCATGTAAAAACTTAATGGTCATCTTTAAAAACCAGTAAATATACCATAAAAGAAAAGAGTACCCTCAGATATACATATATAGATAGATATAGATATAGATATATCCCAAATAGAAAAGCCAATCAAAGAAATCCATGTTTCTCACCAATCATTGTAGCTGTGAATGCGAAGCAGAGTTCTCAGGATCTTAATTTCTAGACACAAGCTATGCTGGAAAGGAAGCTCATGAGGGCAGCAGAAGGAACAGAGCATATGAATCAGTGTTCGTTGGTCTGAAAGCATATGACTCGCCTGAGCAGCGCCTGTGACCTTTATGTATAGTGAGATTTAAAATGGTTAGGTCTAGTCAGAAAAGTAGGCACCTGAGCACCAGTTGCTTGATGCCCAAGAGGGTCTAAGATCAAAATTTTGAGCCCCTTTGCCCGAGAAAGAGTTTAGGAGAAAAAAGGCTTTTAAAATGTTTTTGTCAATGGGGCAAGCAGCCTGAAATTGTTTAAATGATCCTGCAAAGTTGCCCAGCTGGTTTAGGCTAGCTGGGTCAAAATGGGGAGAAAGCATCCCCTAAAGGGTTCTTAGCCACATTTATAAGAGAATTTAAGAATGGGCCCAGCTGGAAACTATCATTTCATTAGAATGTTAAAGAAAAAAATTCCCAGGGCAGGCGAGCTGGCAATCTTGGCTCTTGGCACCTACCTGGAGGGGGTGAATAGCAGGAAGGAAAAAAAAAAGCCTTGGGGTCCTGCAGGTTTAAAGCCTGCATGGGAGGTCAGACACGTGGGGGGCTGGTAGGCACACAGCAGGGAGTAGAAAGCTTTAGTATGGGAGGGGGAGAGAGAGGAGAAGGATACAGAGCATTTGTATGTGTTGGATTGAACGGTATCAGAAATCATCCTGAGTAAAGTGAGGAAGAAAGGCAGTGGAAGAGGATAAAGACAGGAAAAAGGATGGAAGACAGCAGAGCTTGCAGGCCCATGGCAAAGGAGGAGGGGAGAGGGCGAGATGCCGGTGGTGAGTGGCCGGTGGGGGAACTGAGATAGGGAATGGATGAAGCAGGTCCATCATGGTGACCACAGTGCTGACTGGGAGTGGTGAAAATCAATGGGAAAGGAGATCAAAAGAAGACACAGGCAAGGCAGAGTGTTTACAGTGAGGAGAGCCAGAAAGAGGTGAGAGCAAAGCAGAGGGCTGGGGAGAGGAGGAGAGAGAAGAAGTGTACCTGAGAGCCAAGTTAGCGGTATTGGAGAAGTCCAGGCGGGTTCCTTGAAGTAAGAACCGGGTTTTGGCACCATCCCATCTGGTAGATAAAAAAGTAGCCATGTGACGAATAGGGTTGATCAGGAGAAAGCAGTTTATTAGCAAAGGAACACATGGGGTAGATTCCCTTCTGGGCAGGGAAAATATCTGCCCTGGGTTGTGAGCTGGGGTTTTTTAAAGGGGGGAGGCTTCTGCTTCCTGCAGAAGGTGGGAAGATGTCTTTTTTTTTTAAAGTTGGGTGGGGGGGGTAGTGGGAGAGCAGGACTGTTAAAACCCATTCTCTTTAGAGATCAAAGGGGAAGCCTGCTTTGTTGGCCAAACAGTAGAGGAAAGTCTGCTTCTCTTGACTTCGAAGACCAGGGTGCTTATCAGCTAGGTTCCCTTTTCTTGGGAGCATGAGAAGTCCGTGAGGCCCTGTTGGTGAGGGGGCAGGACTATCTGAACCTTAACATTCCAGCAGGAGGCAGAGACAGTAGGGTCTAGGCAGAAGCTTCTGGAACCCACATAGTGCAACTGTCACATTGATTGCAACCTATGAGACCCCGAGCAGAGGGTCCAGCTGGGCTGTATCCAAACTCCTGACTCGGAGAGATGCCAGGTAAGCAATTCCTATTACTTTGAGCTGTTAAGTTTGCAGTCCTTTGCTATGAGGTGGAGTGACCCTTCAGGGCAGTGTGGGGGGTGTGGTGGACCAGGAGGCAGTGATAGCCTAACATTTAAGGAATACTTAGTCTATGCTAGTCACCCTGCTAAGACTTTGCATGGCTGTGGTTTATTAAACCTGTGAAGTACACTAATTTGCATTGCAGAAGTATTTTCCATGTGAATAGAGGTGGGCAGTCCAACTCATGTACAGCTGCATGTGGTCCTGACAAAGAGCCCTCAGTCAGACAGCATGGGCTTTATGCTTTAAAACCGCAGCCCTTCATGGGGCTGGAGAGATGGCTCAGTGGTTAAGAACACTGACGGTTCTTGAAGACTCGGGTTCAAATCCCAGCACCCACATGGCAGCCAACAACTGTCCAACTCCAGTTCCAGGGGATCCAAGAGTCTCTTCTGTCCTCCATGGGCATTGTATGACACGGGTGCACTTACATGCAGGCAATACACATACACACATAAAATATTAAAAAAAACAACAACAACCCAGCCCTTCACGGACTGTCTTTAGTCACTGCCAGATGGATTTCAGCAAGTGCCATAGAGCCGCCCGAATTCTACAGGGAGGGACAAACCCAAAGTATTTAAGACTCACCGTCTACTGCATCGTCTGTGAAATGATTCTTCTAAAGAGAACGCAAGAAATTGCATGACACTTTGTATCACTTAGAACTACATTTTATTTGGGGACATCACAGCAAGGGGTGAAACACCTTTTCCCCTTCGTCTCCAGCAGCCTGGACTGTGAGCCGGTCAGCTCTCTTCAGATGGACATCAGCATGAACAGAATGCGGAGTGTGGACAAGTGAGTTCTACAGGAAACGAAGTCCAGCTGAAGTGCAGCCAGCACACGTGGCGCTCTCACCTTCTTGGTCCGCCACCACCACTTGGTCAGATCTTTGGGCCTTTGTGGAATAAAAGCTAAGGATGATCTGAATTTTTAGTCATTCTTCATCTGTTCGAGCATTCTTACCAAACGACACAGCAAGAACAATTATGTAGTTTTCTTTAAAAGTTTGGGAGAATCTTAGTCATTAGAAAGAATTTAGGTTATACACAGAGCATCACTATTGAATTCCACCAAACTGCAGTTATGCTGCTTTTAAAAAACCAGCTTGTTAAACAAGGAGCTGACTGTGTCAGTCTTTACAGTGAATGCTTGTCCCCCTGCAGCACCCAACCAAGATTTTTCTCCTGTGGTTGGGCAGGGAAGAAAGGTACCTCAAGACACAAGAAACATCTATAACTTTCAGGAACCCAAGGAACACTCACCAATCAAAAACTACATGTTTCAGTGACAAAGTATTTTACAGCTAAAAAGGGATCCAGAAACACAATACATCTAATTTAACGCAGGCAGGAAAACCAACCACGAATTAGTATCTACTGTACTCCACATATGACAATAGCATCTCTGTCGATCTTTCTAAAAGAAGTTTCACTGTACTTGTGAGAAGTAAGGGCCGAAATACCAATGACCTCTCGTTCTAAAAGAGCTGTCTGTCTCAGTGCCTGCAGATAAAAACCTCAATTACTGGTAATTGTACATCTCAACCCACAGCTCCTTTAAGAGGTTTATTCTGGATAATTATGGATTAAAACTTCCATCTCCCTAGTCACTGCAAGACAATCTTGAACTTGGAAAGTGGTCATGACTCACTCCACAATCAAAAGCTAAGACCGTCAGTGTTTACAGTGGAAGGGTGTTCCTCTGCAGAACCGTTCTCCTCTACCTAGAGGACAAATTAACCTTCTTCCTCCGTCCCCCCTGCGGAGCTCCACAGGCCTTTTAAAATCAAATCGTAGTGCCAACAAACTAGGATTTCTCCTACCATTTCACCTGTTTATTCACCAAGGTGTTTATGAGTGCCTGGCGTATGTCAGGCACTGTTTTCCAACTTGGTGACACAGCAATGAGTCAACTCTGACCTTTGTAGATCTTCTATTTATACTGGCCCAGTACAACCAGAAGGAACCATGCAGGAACACATCACCTTTCATAGCTAGACACTAGGTGGGAGAGGGTGTGTTGTAACAGGTGTTCACACACATGAAGCATACATGCAAACCAGACCCACCAAACAGGTGGTGTTTCTAGTCTCCTGACAGTGCCTCTATAAGGCTGGGTGATATTTTATAAGTAGTGACCTATGCCCAATGTCCCCACGCTCTAGAGGGGCAGAGCAGGGACAACATCTGAATGAGGAAGACTCAGGAAAATCAGCTATCAATGCTGGCTGCTTGGTCACTCCAGGTTCGAGTCTGTTATTGACCTTGTTGCGTCTAGAAAAACGAAGACAAATAATAAATAGGCAGAGTTTTCTCAAAAGTGTGCAGATAGAATTAATTAAGCAAACATGTACACTCCAGTCTCAGGCCAGAAATTTTCCCAAGGGCTGGGTGGCCCCACTAGGCACAGGGCATGCTCTCCAGCAAGCACGGGCTGTACACAGCAAGCTCTACCATACACCTGAAGTGATGTGTGTCTGTCTGAGGAGTCTGTCTGTGGCTTAAAATACCCCTCAACTTGAAGAAACTGCACTGGAAGCCTCCGTGTCCCCTGGTAAAATCACATATTGCAGAACACTGCTTCTAGGATGATCCGCAGTCTGGCTGCCATGCTGCTGAGGAAGTCTGGTTCTGATGCCTTTACGAGGAGCCTGGAAACAAGGCCAGTGACCCCAGAGTGGTCATTTTAGGACCTGTGCATGCCTGTAATAAAGCAATGCTTACAAAAGCATTCCTACCATACTTAGAAACTCAAGAACAGTCCTAAGCTGGCCAGTCAGTAGACAGGAGAATTAACTCTCCAGACCAGCGTACCGCTGGGTATCCGGACCAGCCCCTTGGAGCTGTAGCCACTGCTCATCAGCAGTTCCATGTGTCCACAGGCTTCTCCCTGTGCCTGCAAGGGAAGTGTGAAAAGCAACTGGAACTCCTGACTGTTCAAAATCAGCTACTGTTTTACCCAAACGTCAATCTAGAGAGGATTTTGGCTGAAGAAGCTTCAGAAGGTCATCTAGAAAAATCACAACTAGGTCTCCAAAACCATGAGCCATGGAATCGAGGGCAGGGGCTGGGAAGAAAGGATACAGTGCTCCCACACCACAGAGGACTGCCTGTCTTTACTGTGGGTACTCCATCTTCTCTACCTATGTCTCTGCTGCCTGTCACCAGGCTCTGAAGTCCTTCGATATGACACAGGACCCTCCTAGCCCTCTCACCGTGCCTGGGATGTGGGGGCCTGCTGAGATCAGAATGGGAAGGGGAGGGTGAAGCAGGACAGCCGCCAAGGACCTCAAGCTCCGAGTTGGACAGAAGAATTACACATGGTTGGGCTGGGAAAATTTCTCATCTTATAAATAATACCAGTTTTTACCACTTCAAAATTACGAGTATTCCATAAGAAAGATGTAGCTTTTGGGAAAAAAAATCCATATCCTAGAAAAATATTTTAAAAATCTTTTCAAGTTAAAAAAAAAAAAGGAAGAAGAAAGCACCGTAGAGAACAGGAACGGAGCGTCTCAGACATGGCAACACAAAACGAACAAAATTGGTGTCTTAGGTCATCACCTCTTCTCAGTCACAATGTAATCCAACAGTAATAAACATCGTGGACAGCGTCATCTGATGCTCTGATTGCATTGAGTTTTCCAACTCAGAAACTGCCACAGATACAAAGAAAATCTGCTTTTCTGTATATTACAAAAGGCAAACCTCAGCTTATAAAACTGCTTCTGCACCAAAAAGCAGCAAGACTAGGTAGACAGTTGTCTCTAATGAAGTACGTGTCAGGCTCCCGGAGATTTTCACTTAAACGTGTTAAAAACGAGAAGGTCCACAGTCGAGGGCTTTACATCATGAACATGCAGTAGTACATTTACACAGCACATGAACAGTTCTAACACCCTCTGAGTCAGCACACGTTTATAAAGCCAGGCATGGTGTTCATGTCTGTAATCCCAGGACTTGGGAGGCTGACGAAGAAGGTTTCAGCGTCTGAGGCTGAGGCCAGTCTGGACCACAGAGTGGGACTCACAAAACACAACACAACACAACACAACACAACACAACAAAACGATAAAACTGTTCATAAAACAACGTTTGTATTTCTCTTAACCACTCACTTATATAATTTATTATTTAATTCCTAACAATGCTACAATGTTCTTCTTAAATGACATCAATTATATAAATTAAAACGTAATTTAAAAAGCTGTGCTAAAGTGTAAAGAGAATCAACAGCTAGGATGAGGATCCAAACATGTCACCTGTATGTTATCCATGTGTTCCACACCACTGGGCAAAGCACCCCTTGCTGTAAGAATTCCCATGTTCTGTTGATGTGCTTCAATAAATCTTGTCCTGTTCCAAATGTCTCTGATAAGATTGATCGAGAAGCTCTACACTCAGATTTCCGCACTGGGCCTTCGTCCCAGAAGTCACATGGTATGACCTGGTACACTTCAGACTCGACCTGGTTAGGTGGGTTTGCAGGCAGCACTACTGGCTCAGAATGGTGTTTCTCCAAGGCAGGAGGAGAAGGCTCTGTGCTCCTATCAGCCCTTTAATGAGGACTTCCACAAAGGAGGCTTACTGACCTCGGTATTGCATCTTGTGGGAAGTGCATAAACCATCCTTCCTTGACATTTGCTGCCTAGGATGTCCACTAGGGATTCAGTAAGACACGTGCTGTATCTCTACCTAAAACAATTTACTGCAGGCTAGCTACAAACCCAACAGAGGCGCTTCAGCCAAAATGAATCCTCTGCCACCGAAGTCACGGGCTGGAAATTCAAGGGTGAAGCCATCAGCAAGAAGAATTGAGAAGTCTCTGCCGAGCGTTCTTTTCTGTGTTAATAGTTTCACTGTGCATGTCCGGATCTGTCAAATTGAAAAACCAGTATGTATAAAAGGAACGACCACTGCTAGCCAGCTTCTGCCAAGGATCTCTCCTGTGCTCAATCTTACTGCTGCTTCTCAGTCTATAGTCGGAACACGTCTACATGTGAGTCTGCAGTCTCATGTGCTCAATCTTACTGCCGCTTCTCAGTCTACAGTCGGAACACGTCTACATGTGAGTCTGCAGTCTCCTGTGCTCAATCTTATTGCTGCTTCTCAGTCTACAGTCGGAACATGTCTACATGTGAGTCTGCAGTCTCCTGTGCTCAATCTTATTGCTGCTTCTCAGTCTACAGTCGGAACATGTCTACATGTGAGTCTGCAGTCTCCTGTGCTCAATCTTACTGTTGCTTTTAAGTCTACAGTCGGAACACGTCTACATGTGAGTCTGCAGTCTCCTGTGCTCAATCTTACTGTTGCTTTTAAGTCTACAGTCGGAACACGTCTACATGTGAGTCTGCAGTCTCCTGTGCTCAATCTTATTGTTGCTTTTAAGTCTATAGTCTTGAAGTTAGGTCAAGGCAACAAGTTGATAAACTCCCCTTTTAAAAGAGAAAGTCAACTAGTGGCATGAAGGTTATGGGGGTAACCAACTACTTTCTGACTGGATCTGGGGCCTGCTCTACAGGAGGGAATTCAAGCCCGGTACCACAAACCTGGTCAAAAGCCCATGGCTTGTGAGATCATAGGCCCAGCGAGAACCTACTACTGATGTCTTGCTAAATCATATGTTGTCAAACTGTATTCTAAATACTTATGTTTATATCCAGAGATTAGTACTGTTCTCTCCCTTGGCCAGAGACCTTTCTGCTGTGGTTAATGCAGAGACTCATAATGAGCCAAAGTGTTGAGATTCAGTGACTGTTGAGTACTCACTCAGTCCTAAACAGGACATCCGTATCAACACCTTCAAGGCTTGGGAAACACCACAGAAGAAAGGTCAAGAATGTAAGAGCCAGAGGAAGGGAAAGGGTGCTGGGAAGCTGTCTTCTGGACCTGGACACGACATGGCCTTTGCACTGTAGCTATGGTTACCTGCACAAGACTAACAAGACCAGTCATTCCATCGAGCAGCACTAATTGGACTCAGAGTGTTACAAAAAAGAAGAAAAGGGATAGGAGAGACAGCTCGGCAGTTAAGAGCACTGGCTGCTCTTGCAGAGGACCCGGCACCCACATGGTGGCGACAAACCGTCCTTAACTCCAGTTCCAGGGGAATCCGATGCCCTCTTCTGACCTCTGCGGCATTGCACAACACGGGTGCACCTGCATACATGCAGGCAATACACTCATACACATAAAAAAAAATAATAATAAAATATTTAAAAAAAAAAAAAAAGAAAAAGAAAAACCATGAAGGTAGGAGGGGTATATGTTGGGAGGCATCGGGGGAGTAGAAGGTAGGGCAGATATGATCAAGATACACGGTACACACGTATGAAAGATTAATAAATAGAAGATACACAAGAAAAAGAAGAGGAAGTTGGAGAACATAATAAGGAGGTCAGAGGTACAGGAAAAAAAGCTAGAAGACAAAATAAATTCCAGCAAGGGGCACGGTGGCATCGATCTGTTCCTACTCCCTCCTGGTCCCGAGCTCCCCTAGGACCACACTACAGCAGTGGTTTGAGTAACTGCAGGGTAAAGATGGTCCAGCTCTGCGAGGCGCTGCTGCAAGTGCTCTGGGGCTCCCACCACACCTGCCTGGAGAGCCCCCTACCTTTGAGCTCTGCTGCCCGGCTCCCCTGGCCCTCTCCCTTGGCCTCTACCGACATGGGACTTTTTCCATCGATGACGTCCATCTTGATCATGCCAAGGTTAGTCAGGAGCAGCATGGGATCGAGCCCCTGCCCACTGCTTTTAATGCTCTCCAGCACCTTGAGACACTTGTATGACTTGAGTTCGCTTACGTTCTCCTCTAAGAAAAGGTTGTAGAGGCTCAAGTCGTTGTACCCTTCAGATTTGAAATGCAGAACATCAAAGGTGGGCAGGATTTCATAGACTTTGAGGACATCTGTCTTTTGCCGGAAGGGGACAAACAGCGTGTACACAACCACAGGGACCAGCAGAGCATACATCACGAGGTTGATGAAGCTGAGCAGCTGGAAGATTCCCACCGCGATGAGCTTGCACTGGAACCGGTCAGGAATGCTGCTGTCGTTCTTCAGGACCCCAGACTTGATGCTGCACACGAATTCGTCTGAGAGGGAGGACAGGCTGAAGTAATAGCTGAGGTAAACACACGCCAGCAGTAGGATTGTGAACGTCAGCACGCGACAGCTGATGTACTTCATGATCAAATGGCCAGAGCTCTTCTTTGTCTTCAAGTACTGCTCCACGATTGGATACTTGAAGTGGCTCTCAGATATTTCCCACAGACTGAAAAGGAAACAAAATAATCCAGACCCTCACCAATATCATCCAATGTCAAATGACACATCCAGCAACGATACCCTGGAAACTCCAAGTACTCGCACTGGAACGTCATTAGAGTACTAGGGGATAAAATCAGTCTTAGAAAAGGAAAATAATAAAACATGTGGAAGAAGGGGTGAGGGGACTGTACTGGACTGAGGACCAAGACACCTGCTGCTAGACCGTGTCTTCCACATGACAGGAAGCTGTACCCTGAAATCTCAATAAATGTGGTTGTCTAAACGAGACCTGCTATGACAAAACCAGCTGACATGCCAACGTGGATGGGGGAAATGTCACAAGTTTGCATGTCCAGATGGAGAGCTACAGGAAACCATGGCTACCGAGGGAGGAGGAATCAGTTTTCTCTAAGGCCGAGCTCCCTGATAGGCCATCCAATCCCAAGTGGTCAGCCCTAAACACATGCACATATGAGCACCACTAAATGGACTCAGTAGGTACACATGTGCATATACATAAGACTAATATTTAAAGAAGAGGTCAGGGAATTCAGAGGGGGTGGGGGGAATGTGGGAGGAGTTGGAGGGGGAAGGACAGAAAAGATGTAAACACAGTGCTCATGTATGAAATTCTCAAAAATTTAAATAAAAAATAAGAATAAAGAAAATATACTTTTCCTTAATATTCTAAAGATAGTCTGGTAGATTAAATGTGAGTTAATATTTAGAAATTCTTAGGGTAATGTCTGGTACCCGGAGGTAAATATCAGTTAAATAAGTTTATCAGATCCTAAGTAGGAGCTGGTGGTTTTTCTTAAACCACCATCTTGCAGTAAAGAATGCAGAATAAGGTAAAGAATTTTGGGGGCCAAGTAGAACACATGCACTTCTACACTCCAGCACAGTTTGGGTCTCCGGGTCACCCGTGACTACAGGACAGTTTTCCAGAAAGAAGGGCAGAAGACATAAAGAAATGTACTTAGTTATTAACATTGCTCTCAGTTGAAAGACATAATGTACTCGACATAAAGAACTCAACACAGTATCTGGGGCATATTATGTACTTTTTAGAAAAGCTATTATTACTACCAGCTGTAGCAAGAATTGGAAAGTGGGAAGGCCGGGCAGCACCTACTGGTTCTGCCCCCTCATCCTTTCTCTAAGCTTGGCTATCTCAGAATCCTCGGTGTATCTGTCTCCATCACAGATCTAAGCAGCAAGCTGCATGTGGGCCTTCACCTGCAGAGAGACTTCACTGGACAGGGAAAGGAATCTTGACCTGAGGATGCCAAGGTCCTGGGAGAGTTCCCTGTCACTTGGTGGATGAGACCCTGACCCGCCCAGACATCCCACCACCTTCCCATTCATCTCAATCAGAGATGTGGGTCAGTCTGGCAGGACCGAGGGCCCTTCAGGCTGTTACCTCTGCCCCACGTTCTCATTCACTGTAGGTGGTCCAACTCCGTCCCTCAGGTCCATGTCTCGTGCGCTCTTGGCAGCTTTGATGGCTCGGTTATAGACTTTGTCAAGTTCTTCCATGATGAACTTCAAGTCTGAGCAGAGGTGAGGAGCTGCCGCAAAGCGCCAAAACAGTGGGGGCAGGTACAGGAGGATGGCGAACAGCAGGAGGATGTAGGGAAAGAACTGAAAAACAAGAGCCAGACACCGTCAGCAGGCCTGTAAGGGCCAGTCACCGTCGGCAGGACTGTTAGGGCCGATCACCGTCAGCAGGCCTGTAAGGGCCGGTCACCGTCAGCAAGCCTGTTAGGGCCGGTCACCGTCAGCAGGCCTGTAAGGGCCGGACACTGTCAGCAGGCTCTTACAGGGTCTGCTGACCATGCTCACTCGTGGCCACCGGCCC